AGGACACTCTGAACTTGATCGCGGCGCCAGCATCGCCCATGAAGCAGCCGACGGCGTTCTGGTAGCCTTGGGTGTCGGTGCCGCCGCTGATGACGCAGGCCGCTCGACGATGTCTGCCTTTCATAATCGTGCAATCTCCAGGCAAGCATATCTGGTCGATCGCCTCGTCGGGGAACGTGTGTGTCACTAATGCAAATGCGTTCGTCATGTCGTGCTTTGTAGTGATGTGGCTTTTTTTTGCAACTTTGTTAGTCCCCACTGAAGCGCGAGCCCGACGGTGATCGCCTCCGATCGTGAACGTGCTCTCGCGTAGCCGTGCTCTGAGTCGCCTAGCGGGGTTGTAGTCAGTAACTGTCGGGAAGCAACCCAGGTCTTTCCAAATGTGCATAACCCATGGAGCAGTCGGGTTCCTCTGGTTCGCGGCTTGATATTCATCTTACTGACTTGATAAGTATGTGAGAGATTCCACCAGGCATTGAGTCTCTGATGCTGTCGAACGGCAGCGAGTTGTGCGTGGATCGCATCGCCGAAGAGGGGGCCAGGGAACACCATCGTGCGGTCGAAATCTCGGCAGCCGTCTGTTTTGCAATCCTCGCTTCGGTCAACAAGTAGAAGTGTCAATATATCAGCAGGTAGCGACCATTCGGGTGCAGCTCGTCGTCGTTTGCAGTTCTCTCGCAGCCGTTTCTTGATTGCATCCAAGCCATACTTCGCGTGTCGCCACTGGTGTGCGGAAGGGCAGAAACGCTCATCGCTGGCTGCTGCTGCGTCGATGAAGTGGGAGATGTCAATCGGGATGGCTTCCATGCCGCCTTCGGCACCTGGAAGGGCCATATCTTCAGCCCATGTCTGTACGCAGGGTCGGGTGTCGGGCAGGTCGAAGTAGCACCTCTTTCCTGGCCCTTTACCGTTACCAGCAAGTTTCCTGCACGCTTCCCATACTTCTGCTTCAAGTCCAGCTTCATCAGCTTGCTGTAGTTCGTGGAAGTGTTGCTCGTCACGATGGTCGCGTAATCGTCGTCGAAGTTTTTTGCATGCAGCGCTGCAGCGGCGGAGTATCAGGGTGCTCTCTAGGTCGTCGGTGAGGTTCTGCCGAGCTATGGTACGATCACGTAGTGCTTGTCTGCGCTGATTGGCAAGCTGCTGGTACTCAAGATCGTCAGGTGGCTTCTGGTGCTCAAAATATTCGAGAGCTCGTGCGCACATCTTGGCAACAAGTATTTGCCATCCAGATTCCATGGTGCGTCTTTCTGCCCAATCAGCCATGTCCCGATAGCCGTTCTCGTTGAGGTAGTTGGAAAGATCCGCCTCTATGTCGTCTCTGAGCTGCTTCGCGCAGTCGAAGAAGCGCTCGTCCTTCCAAGCACGGAACATGCGGGTATAATCCCACGGCGGCGGCCTCTTCGGCTTATCGAACGTGAGTGTGCATTCTACGTCAATATAGAGCATCATGTGGTCCAGAAGACGTTGTGATGGGAATGCTCTGAATCGCTTGGTGAGCCGATATGCAATATTATGTCGTCGTACTCTGGGAAGATATCGAATCGGCATTACGATATAATCGATGTAGCTAGTATGTCCGCGAAGTCCGTGATATGTGGGTCCACAAGGGTGGTGGGCATTCGTAACACATAGGGCGTAGTCGGTCATGAACGTGTGGAACGCTTCCCCTGCGTAGTGCTGCTGGCCGTACCCGTGCGCGCCGACGGTGGCGTCGTCTCCGTCCATGGGGTTACGCTCGAGGCCGTCGTCCAGGTCTGTGCCGATGAACACGCACGTGCGGTTCGGTAGGTCGGATAGCTTCATTCTTGGACGCGGCTGTGATACGCTGTGAGCGAGGAGGAAAATATGCTGTGATGAAGGTGTAGTCGAATTGTGAGCTCTTGACGCGAGCAGCGCCAACACGGCCGCGTAGTGCGGCAGGGGGTTGCCAGACTTTCACAATATGAGACTTGCGAAACCATCTGCGATTCAGCCATATCTCTGTGCCGCAGGATTTATTACCAGTAATATTTCTGCTACTTCGATGCCATCCGAACTTCAGCATGTGGAACTCGGTCGACGTGTGGGTCTCGTAGGCAGTCGTAGTCTTCGTCTGTGTGCCTGATAAGAGCACTGCGTCAATGTGTTCTAGCTCCCTTGAAATCTCCAAGCGCTTGTCGTAATCCTGCAGAGACATCGGATTCCATGAAATGAGACGCATGTAGATCGTCAGTGTGTGACTGAATATATAAATATATATATATATACATATATATATATGAAATCATACTATCCCAAGGGGAGGCGATAAGTCTGGGCGGGGGTAGAGTCTATTCTCTTTTTAGAAAGGAGAATCGATGCGATGCAAAATATGCTGCACTATATTTGTTGTGCAATCTATGTGGAGCAACCGATGTGGAGCAGCTCATGTTGTGCAACCTATGTGGTGCAATCAGTGTGGAACAACCTACGTTGTGCCTGGGGCGCTGCAAAGCAATCCAATCCAATGCAATGCATATCACGGAATAGCAATGCACGGGCGTCGACAACGTGGCGACGGGGCGGCGACGGCGGCCACATAATCGCCAGACTGAAGACACGGCCCAGACGACGGGCGGCGACGACCCAACGACGAGGCGGCGACGGCGGCCACAGAGCCGCCAGACCGAAGACACGGCCCAGACGACGGGCGGCGACGAGGCGGCGACACCGGCCACATAGCCGCCAGATCGAAGACACGGCCCACTTAGACAGAAGTAAGGTCTCCTACTTGCAAGCACTGCTTGGGGAAGCATTCCCTTCCACAGCACAAACACTCAAAATCCACGCGCGCGGCGCGCGGCGTCGCGCGAGCATTCTGGCATGTTTCAAAAACCTTCGGCTTCACAGCGGTTGCGCGATCGAACTTCCCAAACATATAATTAGCCTGGCGAAAGCCCCAACCGTATGCAGTTGTGGGTACCGTCGTTTTGAATGTTGCCGTCGGTGGATCGTCTCACGGGGCCAAAAAACTCACGGAGGGAGCATGGCGGGACTGCCATGCGGCCGCTGCCACTGGGGCCGTAGGTAGCCAGCTCCCTATGGGGCCACGACATGTGTGAAGTGTTCGCGGACATGGAAGGTGGAACCGCATGCGGGCACTGCCACTGGAGCGTTCGGTAGAGCCCTTATCGGGCCACGAAACGTGTGAGGGGCGCACCGAAAATTGAGAGAACCGCACGCGGGCGCTGCCGCTGGGGCCGTCGGTGGAGCTCCCTGTGGGGCCACGAAACGTGTCAAAGATTCACCGAGATGGAGGGTGGAACTGCATGCGGGCGCTGCCACTGGGGTCTTCGGTGGAACCCCCTTATGGGGCCGTGAAGCGTGTGAGGGGTGCGCCGAAATGGGGGTGGAACCGCATGCGGGCGCTGCCATTGGGGCCTTCGGTGGAGCTCCACGAAGCAAACCTTGCCTTCTGGCCAACCCGTGATCGTCGCGATCGACCCCCCGCGGATGTTACTGAAGATCCACTGGAATCAACTCAAACGCTTCGCTCCAGCAGCCGTCGCCCGCGGGGGCACGCTCGTTGAAGCCCGCCAAGGCAGCTTTCAGCTCGTCATGGGGGGGGGGCGCTCCACCAGCTGCCCCCCCCACGCCGCCGTCGGCAAGCTTTGCGCGGAGCTGCAACGAGGTCCACGCCGCGAAGCTGCCAGTGACGCCGCTCATGGTGCGGCGCCAAATCTGTTTGACCTCCCACGGGCCTCAGCGGTGGACGCGCGCCTTCGCCGCGCGCGCGCGGCGCGAACCTCGACCACGGGCGCGGGCGACTGAACGCGGATGGTCTCGACGATGGCACCGGCGTCGCGGGCCCCGCGTCGCGCTGCGACGCACGCCTCGGAGTTCCCCGGCAGGGGCGACTTTGGACGCGCACGAACGGGGAATTGAAACGCAAGTCGCGCGCACAGTGCGCCTCGGAATCGTTTCGAAAACGCACGCCTGCGGAGATGAGAGCCGGGCTGGGAAGACTTACCAGCCTGGAACATATCCCTATCCCTATGCTGGGCATCTCCTCATCACGATGCCAATCTTAGGGATTCCCTCATCTTTTGAGGGCGCATCCCTAAGATTGTCATCGCCTGTTGGCGTGTCAATCTTAGGGATAGGGATAAGTTCGAGGCTGGTAAAAGACAGGGGCAGCCGGCAGGGCTGGATAGATTCTACGATGCCGCCCCAGCGCCGCAGCGATGTGCCCCCTCCCCGCCCCCCCCGAAGATCCAGCGAGGGCGCCGCCCGCAGCGCGGGCGCCGCCCGCAGGGGCGCCGGCGCCGCGGCCAGGAAGCTGGCCGCCTCGGCCTGGCCCTCCGCCGCGCCTCGCGAGGCTCGCCGTCGCTCCACGAGGCTCGCTGTCGCTCGCGAGGCTCGCTGTCGCTCGCCGTCGCTCGCGTCTCTCCCGCAGCGGGCTCGCCGCCGCTCGCGAGGCTCGCGAGCTCCGCCGCGGCGTCTCGCCGAGCCGGCCCGCCGTGTCCGGGGCCGCCGTGGGGCCCCGGGGGCGGAGGGCGGCCGCGGCGAGCTCGCGCCCTCGGGCGGGATCTGCGGAGGGCCGCGCCGCCGCAGGCGCCCCCTGCAACAACGCCTTCGCTTCCAAGCTCTTCTCCTGCGGCTTCCAGGCGGCTCCTCCTGGAGTCCAGACCTGTCCTATATGGGCTGGCGGGAGATCCTGGACCACTCCAGCGGTTCCCACGCTGTCCCCACGATGTCAAGACCTACTCCCGTGGCGTGCAGCTTGTCCGTGGATCTTTGAGGTGGTCCCGTGGGGGCCGACGGGCTGCAAGGCCTAACTCATGCCTCTCGGGGGGGCCCGAGGCGGCGGCTTGCCACGGGCAGCTAAAGTCCGCCCACCCAGTCGGCGCGTGTGAGATGCTGTCGTCGTCCTCCTCGACATGGTCGTCGCCAGTCCCAAGCTCGTCGTTGTCGCTGTCGTCGTGGTGGTCGTCGTGGTCGTCCTTCTGGGTCGGCGGCACCAGCCGTAAGGCCTTCACAATAGAGGAAAAATCTCACGTTGTCCGCGATGACGCCAGCAGCTTTGGCAAGAAGCATGTCCAAGGCTTGGTCAAACATCTTGAAGACTTTGATGGCCCTGACCCACCTAGGAACCTTCACCAACCGGAACGCACCAGCGCCAAACTGACCCACCAGAATGAGAAATGCCCAATCAACAACGACGACACTTAGGTCAAGAAGAAACCAACCTCGGATGTAATGTCGAGCTATCTCTGAGAACCCTCGCTCGACCTTGTCCGCCTTGTAAAAGCCTGTCATGAAATTCATCAAAATATCGAGGGTCCAAAATACACTCCCCGCCAAGTTCATGTAGGTGAAAAAGAGAACGTCGTCGAGACTGAATGACACTGTCAGCGGCAGGGAGAGAACATCATACACGATGAACAGCAAGCTGACGACCGTCCACATCTTGTGTGTCGCCGACTCGGGCATGATGGACGAACACGCGCCAAACGAGGCTGGTCTACCACACGCGGGGAGGTGGGGAGAAGAGGACGTGTGCAGTACCTCGTACCCGCTGATCCTCAGAGCGACGAATACTACGGGGCGTGAAAACGACCACAGCCACTGCTTCTCTTCTGTTGCCGCCCTCCAGCCCGCAGAAACAGGGCAGTGGCTGTGGTCGTTTTCGTGGAGCTTGGCACCAGGGACATGACCACGACCACTGCTTCTTTTTCGGCCGGCTGGAAGGCGGCGCAGGCAAGAAGCAGCGGCTGTGGTCATCTTCCCGTCCCGCAACTGCTGGCACCAGCACAAACTTTCGGGGGGGCCTGCGCGGATGCCTCCGGTCCGCCCAGGGCCTCTTCCCGGGTCGGCGCCCCCGGCGCCCACCCGGGCGAGCTCAGAGCGCGCCATGGCGCTCCAGAGGCGCCGACCCAGAAGACGCCGCGCGGACCTCCGGGAGCTGCCGTGCCGGTGCAGCCTCGGGGCCACCGACCTCTCGACCCCTCCCCCCTCGCCATCGCCTGGACGCCAAAATTCCCTGTGTTTTTTTGGGGGGGGTCGTGCGTGGTTTTCTCGCCAAATTGACTACCTACCAGACCACCCCAACCCAACCCGAAGACCCGAATTTCGGGTTGGGGGGGGTATGGGCTCCATATGTGTTTTTTCTATGTTCCCGGAACCCCCCCCACTAGAAATCGAGGGTAAATCTGACCCTTCGGGTTGGGTTGGGGTGGTTTGGTGGGTGGTGACAAATGGTCAAGGATGCTCCTCGAGGGTCCTCGCCCGAAGGAAGCATGCACGCGCCCGAGCGCTGCCGAGGCCCCCCTGGGGGTCGGCGTGCCGTCCCCGACCAACTCTCGGGAGGCGGCCCCGGCGGCCAAAGACTTAATTACGACTGGGCTCCGGCGGTGCCCTCTGCCAACCCTGGCTGCCACTGGGAAACCCGTGCTTCTACACATCGCTGTTAGGTTGCTTTGCTGGGATAATCTGGCTTCAAGGTGACGGGAATATTACCACCGACACCGAAATCTAGGATCATTTCCCCCTCGTGGAGGCAGCCCCCTGCCTTGGTGCTGGTGCCCATCTCCAATCCAGGCCTCCAACGTTGGGCCCCGGCGGCCACAGCAGGCACGGCCGCCGCTCGTGGGAGGCACGGCGCGGGGCACCCGGGGAGCACGGCCTCTCTCGCGGGGCCCGGCGAGGCGGGTCCGGGCGCTCGCGTCTTCAGGCTGCGTGGCAAGCCTGGGGAGGCAACTCTTGGAGTCCTGGAAATTGGCACCAACACCAGCACAGGGGGTTGCCTCCACAGGGGGAAGACGATCCTAGATTTCGGCGTTGGTGGTAATGTTTCGGCCACCTTGGAAGCCAGAATGTTACCACCATCTCCGAGATCGGGATCTTCTTCCCTCGGTGGATGCACACCGCCGATATTGGTGTTGGTGTCAATCTCTAGGCCTGCGAAACTCCTGGGAAAGCGGGACTGCAGATGGATACTAACTACCGCTCGCTGAACCACCAGACGGCCCCAGAGGCCGAAAACTTACAATCATGTTGCTTCGAGCGATCCCCATCCAAGAACGCGAGGAGGGTCGTTGAAGGCTGAACGACTTCTGCCGTTCTTCGACTCGCGCTGGAGCCGCGAATTGCTCCAACTTTCCCTGGAGATCTCTGGATGTACCCGGATTTACCCTGGTGTATCTCGATGTGCATGGACTTGCCCGGATTCACCTCGACTCATCTGCCGCCTGCCTGGATCTGCCTGGCTCGATCCCCACATGTCGATTGGCGAAACGTCGACAAGCCCTTAGGGAGAGGGATGCCCAGGGAGCACCGGCAGGCACCCGTGGTTGGTTTCCCGGAGATTGACACCAACACCAATAATATCGGCGGTGTTCCTCCACCGAGGGAAGCAGATCCCGATCTCGGTGATGGTGGTCATTTTCTGGCTTCAAGGTGACGGGAATATTACCACCGACACCGAAATCTAGGATCATTTCCCCCTCGTGGAGGCAGCCCCCTGCCTTGGTGCTGGTGCCCCTTTCCAACCCAGGCCGCCAACGTTGGGCCCCGGCGGCCACAGCAGGCACGGCCGCCGCTCGTGGGAGGCACGGCGCGGGGCACCCGGGGAGCACGGCCTCTCTCGCGGGGCCCGGCGAGGCGGGTCCGGGCGCTCGCGTCTTCAGGCTGCGTGGCAAGCCTGGGGAGGCAACTCTTGGAGTCCTGGGAATTGGCACCAACACCAACACAGGGGGATTGCCTCCACAGGGGGAAGACGATCCTAGATTTCGGCGTTGGTGGTAATATTTCGGCCACCTTGGAAGCCAGAATATATTACCACCATCACCGAGATCGGGATCGTCTTCCCTCGGTGGATGCACACCGCCGATCCTGGTGTTGGTGTCAACCTCTAGGCCTGCGAAACTCCTGGGAGGTCATTCGTTGGAACGGTCAAGGGCGAGCAAGAGGCCAAGGCGAGGCGGGGACTCATCCAGATCCAGCGCCTGGGAGCCGACGTCCTGGTGCCCCAGCGGGCGGTGGATATGGATATATATATATATATATATATATATATATATTATATATATATATATATTTCGGCCCCCGGGGGCCCGAAAATGTCCACATCCACCGCCTGCCGAGGCTCCGAAAACTGACCCTCCGGGCGGTGGTCATGTATAAATTCCTGCCTCGGAGCCCGATTAGACGGCCACTTCACTGGATGAGGCCAGATGAAGCCCAGGATTGAGCCAGACTACGCGGGATTAAACCGAACGAAACCGGATCAATCCAAATTAAGCCGGAATTCGACTGCAAAAACACCAGCGCCGATGCATAATTTAATCTCCAAAGAGTTGCATCCCAGCAGCCCCATCCGTGTCGGGTAAGAAATCGGTGGCGGAACCCCCTGGGGGGAAGTGACAAGGGGCGGGCCTTCTCGGAAGGCTTGGAAGGCCCCCAGCCTTCTGAGAAGTCGTCTAGAAGCCTTCCCCGAAGTCAGAAGTCACAGAGCACCTCTCAGACGGCCGGAGGGCTTCTGAGAAGTCCCGCCACCTTCTGAGAAGGCCTTCTTTTCAATATTGGCATTAGTACTGTTGCTATTGTTATTATTCGTGTACCTAGTATTAATCTTATCATTAATACAAACGCACTACTACTTAAAATAGTATAACGATTAGTTCACATAGTATTCGCATCATGGTATACGACGATGCTTGGCAACATGACTTGCATTGGTACTACTACTTGTAGTAGCATTAGCATTATTACTACTACTACTACTACTACTACTACTACTACTACTACTACTACTACTACTAGTAGTAGTAGTAGTAATAATAATAGCAGTAGTAGGAGTAGTAGTAGTACTAGTAGTAGTAGTAGTAGTAGTAGCAGTAGTAGTAGTAGTAGTAGTAGTAGTAGTAGCAGCAGTAGTAGTAGTAGTGGTTGTTGTTGCTGCTAGTAGTAGTAGTAGTACTAGTAGTAGTAGTAGTAGTAGTAGTAGTAGTAGTAGTAGTAGTAGTAGTAGTAGTAGTAGTAGTAGCAGTAGTAGTAGTAGTAGTGGTAGTAGTAGTAGTAGTGGTGGTAGTAGTCGTAGTAGTAGTAGTAGTAGTAGTATTAGTGGTAATAGTAGTAGTAGTAGTAGTAGTAGTAGCAGTAATAGTATTAGTAGCAATGATAGTGTCACTAATGCTTGGACCTATATTCATTAGCAGCCGTATACTATTCCTATCATTCGTAGTATGACGAGTCGTCCATGTATTAATTGCTCCTTCGTATGATGATGACCATTACCCTTCGTATTAATACGATTTTTACTATTAATAATTATCCTTCTTCGTATTAGCACTATCATTACCATTATCCTTTCCTCCGTATTAAAATTACCCTGGTAATTCGTGTCATGATCATCAATATCATCAGCATGATCCTCTCATCTCTCGTCTTACGACTCGTAGTCTTAGCATCCTTGGTACTCTGCCTCGTCTTCTTCTGCTCACTTCCCTCCCTGGGCGCGCCGCCGACCTACGGCTCACAACCCCCGGGAGACCCGGGCCGAGCGCGGCCCGGGCCCCTTGACCCTCGGGGGTCCTGGCTTTGTGCCTCTTCCAGTCGATGCACGACGGCAGGGCGACGGTGCCGGACTCCTGCCCGGGAGGCCGAGCATCGGGGGACCTGCTGCGATGTCTTGTGTTCCCTGGGGCCCATCCCATAGTACCGGCGGCGACGACAAGGGCGAATAGCGCAGGGGCGGGCATCACACGTATTCGCCCGGGAGCCTTGTCGAAGACATAGAGCATCGGCGCCCCTGAATACATGGATGGCTCTCCCCTGGGCTATTCGCCCCTTATCGCCGCCTCTGATAATATTGCTGGAGGACGGGCCCCAGATTTCGCTTCGAGGTCTCGTGGCGCCCGTCGGACAGGCCCCGAGCTGGGCCGAGGAAAGCCTCTGGCACCCGTGGCCGGATCTCAAGTCCCACCAAACTCGGCAGCAGACCCCACTGCGACACCCCGTCCAAGTGGGGCCGCGAAATACTTGGGTGCACTAGGTTTCATAAGTCTCTTACAATAATCTGAGATCTCGGGGGCGCGCAAACATGGACTTGCAATCCATGGATTTGGCGCGCGGTCGCCAAATCCGTGGATCGGGGGAGGTGCCCTCCCCAAAATACGGCCGGTGCCGCCTCGCTCGGCGGCGGAAATCGGCGATTTCCCATGGAAGCGGGGCCCGTCGCGAATCCACGCCCCCTTGATCCACGTTTGCGATCGCCTGAGAGGAGGCACCGACACCACTACTCCCTGGACACCCCCCCCTGGTGCGGTCTGACCAGCACTCCGAAGCGAAGCCAGCCGTGGCGCCGAGGGCCTCCCAGGAGGCCCCAGAAGGCGAAGACGAGGGAGGGGTCGCGGCACCAGCACCTGTTCCTCCGCTGAGCTCCGGGCTAGCCGCCCCCCTGGCCCAGAAGTCGCGGACGCCGACGCCGACCACCTCGGGCGCGTGCGGCGGGGCCAGCGTGCACGCCTTGGGCCAGCATGCAAGGAGGAGGAGGAGGAGGAGGAGGAGGAGGAGGAGGAGGAGGAGGAGGAGGAGGAGGAGGGGGAGGAGGGGAGGAGGGGGGAGGAGGAGGAGGGAGGAGGAGGAGGAGGTAGGAGGAGGAGGAGGAGGAGGAGAGGAGAGGCGGAGGAGGAGGAGATGCATGCGGTCCTCCGCCCCGCCACGCCAGCGCTCGGGCCCGAGGGTGACCTCCGCGGGCGACGGGCTTGCCTCCTGGCCGTCGTCTGGGCCGCCTGCTCCTGCCTCGGGGAGGCCTCCCGAGCGGGGCCGGAGCAGACGTGTGCGTGTGCCCGGACGCGCCCCACGGGGCGTGTCAGCTGGTGTGCCCTGGGGCCGCTGCAGCCCTTCGCGACCCCCTCGCTGCCCTTCGTGGCCCCGTTGCATCCCTTCGTGGCGGGCGGGGCGCGGGGAGGCCCGTGGGGACGTCGTCTCCGGGCTTGTCCAGGGGCGCAGCCGAGGGCGATGAAAAATCGCGACCGCGGCCCCGAACACCTTCATTTTGTCGCACTGTTCGAGCTGGAGCGACCTGTGACATCGTCCCTGGGCCCGAAAGAGGAAGACGCCCAGCTAGAACAAATTGCGACGCCAGGATCTCAAGGTGCATCTAACGATGCTGACCCAAAGACGCAATGTCCGGATTGTTTTGATACGGGGTCCCCGAAAGTCACGACCCCTTCCCTGGGGCCGGACTTATCATCGCGAGCTTGATGGTCCCGGGGCCCGGCGAAGAGCCCCCAGAGACCGAAAACAGTCAAAAACCTTCGGTTTTCGGCCGGGCGGTCTGAACCGGATGGGCCCCAAGAAGCGCAGTCAGGAAGGGGGGATGAACGCAAATCCGCTCAAAAACAGTCCCCGGAACTTTCACGGGTCCATCAATGGTTCGCCCTAAGTCCGTGTTCGACGGCCCCTGGGGCCCGCAAGTGGCCCCTGGGGACCGAACAAAAACAACGAACAAACAAACAAACAAACAAACAAACAAACATACAAACAAACAAGACACAACAACGCAAAAACAACAACAACATCAACAACAACAACAACAACAACAACAATCATTTTACCCGAACGCGTGGTGTTCTCCCCAGTGCCAGGGTTTTCATACGACACCAGGCAATACCCCCACTTCGTGGGGGGGCATTACAAGCTCTACCAAATATCCAAACGACTCTTCGCGACCACCCAAACCCAGCTTCCCGCCCTATGACGTTGGGACACTTCACTTCGTGGCGTGCGGACGACCGTGGCTACTACACTGGCGTGGGGTACACACCCACAGAACCCAATGGTTTTTGGAGATTTCGGCGTGCGCGCGCGAAGAAAAAACGAATGTGTCCCGCATGGTATTATTTGACAGGGATGATGGCCCTGGCAGGTGCGCAACCGTTGTCGCAGAAGTTCGAAAAAGTTGCTCGCAAAAGCCCGTTTGACAGAAATGTTTAAAAAGTGTTGGGTTTCCTACGAATCCGCAAGAGCGCGCGGGATGAGATTTTGACATTTTTTTGTTGAAAAACCATTGGTTTTTTGATGTTTTTATGTTAAAATCGCTCCGAACACTAAGCTTTTGGAAGGATTTCGTCTTGCGCGCGCGAATGTCCACTTTACCTTATTTTTTGCAAGGGATTCTTGAAATTTGATTATATTAGAACAAGAAATGTCATTTTATAGTGTTTTTTGCAAGGGAAAGCGGGGGGGAACAAAACAACCGGATCTTGATCACATCGAATTACCTGAGGCTTCCTCACGAAAATGATGAAAATGTAGCTGCGGCCTAGGCGCGGCGGGGGGGGCGTGCACCAGGGGGCCCAACAATAATTATTCTTTAGAACTAATAATGTTCAACAACAACGACGACGACGACGACGACGACAACGACAACAACGACAACGACAACAACAACAACAACAATCGTTGTAAGACTGTTCGCTCTCACCTGCTCGCGCGTCATTCAAAATGCATATCCCAAACCCTGGACACCCGCCCTCTTCGCATTCGATCGCACCCCCCTGCGGGGGGTGTATTCATTCCCTGCCACGCGTGGTCGGAGAAGCCCCTGAAACGAAGGGCAACAGATAAGGGGGGATAATGACGGCGAAGGGGTCGGAGGAAGGGGGGGAGGGGCAAGAAAGAGGGAGGACGACGATTTGCGCTGCGGGTGGCGATCAGCTTGCGCCATGGTTTGCGCCAGCCATTCCAACACAGGTTAACAATAAGTTTCGCCATGGGTCGCGCCATTAACAACGCCACGCACCACCCCGTCGAAGGAACACATCGTGGACACCCCCACGGGGGGACGCGCAGCTGCGAACTGGCGTCAGAAACACATTTCGCGGAACCCGGAAAACAAGCGGGACGTTGGGAGAGTGGGGCGGAAGGATAGCGAGAACTGCAGCCGCGTCGAGAGGGGCGCGGGGACGTGGAGTGGATTGGGATGGAGTGGACAAGAGTAGGGCCCCAGGAGGAGGAGCGGCAAGGAGCGGAGAAGAGGAACCGGGAGGAACGCGGAGGAGCGGGGGGCGCACGGAGGAATCTGGAGGAGGGGCTGGGAATAACTTGAGAGAAATGCGGAACGCGAGCGGAATGGCGGAGGGATCGTTGGGGCGGGATGGGGCGGCCCGGGGAGGGGCGCGCGGAATGCGAAGAACAGAGGAATAGCACAATGGAGTACGAACGACATGGAAAGGGAAATAATAGAGAAGACTGAGAAAGAACGTTGAAAAGTGGGGGCAGGTGGATGCGAGCGGAGACTGGCGCGGAAACATGGCGCGGGGGGGATTGAAAAGCACCCGAAAGCCTCCTATAACCTCTGGGGGGCCTCGGAATGGCCCCGATGACCGCCGAGCAATTCCAGAGCTCCGAAAACCTGCGGGAACGCCCTGGGGGCCTCGTCGAGCGAGGCCTTCGTTCGAAGCCTGCAGAAGAACCTGGGCCATTGGAACACGCGCGTCTCAAAGGCCGGCAAACCGGGCCCCGGCAAGCGGCGGACCGTCGGCCTGGCCACTGGCAACGCTGGCGACGCACACGCCGACCCGCGGCAACCCGACCCCAAGATGGACAGACAGCGGGCTCGCCACGACGACGACGACGACCACGACGAGACGAGGGAGGAGGAAGAGGAGGAGGGAGGAGGAGGAAGAGGAGGAGGAGGAGGAGGAAGGGAGGGAAGGAGGGAAGGAGGGAAGGAGGGAGGAAGGGAAGGAGGAGAGGGAGGAGGGTGGGGGCTGAAGGGCCGACAGGCTGGCCCTCGGCAGGCGGCGAGGCACTCGCACGGATTATCGGCCTGGCTGGCTGAAGGGTCGGAGTGCCGGGCTCCAGGCGGCAGGCGGGCCCCAAGGGGGGCGACCGGACGACGACACGACGACGACGACGACGACGACGACGACGACGACGACGACAATGACGATAAGGGGAAGGAGGGAGGGAGGGAGGGGGAGGAGGGAGCAGGGAGGGACGGAGGACGGGAGGGACAGCTGCGAAAGGAGAGAGGTAAAGAGAAGAAAAAAGAAAGAAGAAAAGAAAGAAAGAAAGAGAGAGAGAGAGAGAGAGAAAACATAGAGAGAGAGAGAGAAAACATATATATATTATATATAATATATATATGGGGCCATACATATGAATATATATATATATATTATATATATATATATATATATATATAATATATATATACATATATATACATATGTATATATATATATATATTATGGGGCCAGAAAGGGCGGCAGCGGGGCCACTTTGCGCAGAAACTGGGACACGAAGGGCAGCGAGGGGGCCACGAATGGCGACAGCGGGGCGACGAAACGCATGCGTATGGGACCACGAAAGGCGCGAGCGAGCGGGGGCCACGAAGGGCAATTAATCCGGGGCCACAGAGGGCAGCGACGGGGCCGCTGAGGGCAGAAACGGGGCCACGAAGGGCAGAGAGGGGGCCACGAAGGGCGACATCGGGGCCACAAAAGGCATGCAGATGGGGCCACGACGGGCGCGAAACGGGCGGGGGCCACGAAGGGCATTCGTATATGGGGCCACAAAGGGCGACAGCGGGGCCACGAAGGGCAGCGAGAGGGCCACGAAGGGCGACAGAGGGGCTACGAAGGGCATGCGTATGGGGCCACGACGGGCGACTGCGAGCGGGGGCCACGAAGGCCATATAATGCGGGGCCATAATGGGCAGCGACGGGGCCACTGAGGGCAGCAACGGGGCCACGAAGGGCAGCGAGCGAAGGCGACCGCGGGACAAGCACGGGCAGCGAGGGGCATCGAAGGCGGGCGAAGGGCAGCGAGCGGCGACTGCAGTCCCTAACGGGCTGGTCGGGCGGGCACGCCCGGACGGACGGGTCGAGCGGGCGGGTTGTTGAAGCGCGAATTCTGCTTGAACCGCCAGGCAATATGTAGCAGGAGCGCGATTCCTGAGTGTCGAGGAGCGGCATCTGAATAAATTGTGAAGAAGTATCAAGCGGGAGCCGCGATCCGGTGGTAAGTTGCGAGGAAGTCCCAAGCGAGAGCGCGATTCTTAAATAAATTGGGAAGAAATATCCAATGAGAGCCGCGATCCGGTGGTAAATTGCAAGGAAGTCCCAAGCGAGAGCGCGATTCTTCAATAAATTGTGAAGAATCTCAAACGGGAGCCGTTCTTGTTGTAAACCGGGGGCCAACGACACAGTTTGACCCTCAAGATTTTCCCTCATAAAAACAGGGTGCGAGCCCCGGGAAGGGCACTTCAATCGAAAAAACAATGTGCACTGGACGAGGGGGATCAACAATAATTATGTTTCAGAGGTGGAAGTTCTACAACAACAACAACAACAGCAGCAGCAGCAGCAACAACAACAACAACAACAGCAGCAGCAACAACTGCAAAAATAACAACACCAACAACAACAACAACAACAACAACAACAACAACAACAACAACAACGACAACGACAACGGCAACGGCAACGACAACAACAACAACGGCAACAACAACAGCACAACAACAACAACAACAACACCATAACAACAACAATACAACAACAATACAACAACAACAAACACAACAACAACAACAACAACAACAACAACAACAACAACAACAACGACAACAACAACAGCAACAACAACAATTACAACAACAGCAGCAGCAACAACAACTACAACAACAACAAACACAACAGCAACAACAACAACAACAACGCCAACACCAACACCAACACCAACAACAACAACAACAACAACAACAACAACAACAATTACTAGCACGTGGGGACACTCCGTTCTCACCAGTGCCAGGGTTTTCATGGGAGGCGGGCAATACCCCCACTTTGTGGGGGGGCCGGTTCAAGCTCTACCACATTTCCAAACGACTCTTCGCCACCACCCACACCCAGCTTCCCGCCCTATGACGTTCGGACACCTCACTTCGTGGCCTGCGGACGACCTTGGCTACTACACTGGCGCATGGGTACAATGACTTGTTGTGGTAACATTTTCTGTAAGCTAGCTTAGTATACGACTTTTCCCCCTGCAATTGAAGATTTCGGCGTGCGCGCGCGAAGAAAAAACGAATGTGTCCCATATGGTATTATTTGACAGGGATGATGGCCCTGGCAGGCGCGCAACCGTTGTTGCAGAAGTTCGAAGCACGTGAAAAAGTTGCTCGCAAGAGCCCGTTTGACAGAAATGTTGAAAAAGTATTGGGTTTCCTAAGAAATCCGCAAGAGCGCGCGGGATGAATTTTTGAAACTTTTTTTTTTGAAAAACCATTGGGTTTTTCATGTTTTTATGTTAAAATCGCTACGAAAACTAAGGTTTTGGAAGGATTTCATCTTGCGCGCGCGAGTGTGCACTTCGTGTCGTTTTTTGCAAAGGATTCTTGAAGTTTGGTTATGTTAGAACAAGACATGTAATTTTATATTGTTTTTTGACAGGGAAAGCGGGCGTCAACAAAACAACCGGATCCGGACTCCCCCGTTTTGCCTGAGACTTCCTCACGAAAATGATGAAAATGTGGCTGCGGCCTAGGCGCGGCGAGGGGGGCGTGCACCAGGGGGCCCAACAATAATTATTCTTTAGAAGTAATAATATTCAAAACGTGCCGAACCAAAAACGTCCTGAACACAGAACGTCCCGCCCTGCTCGCCAGAACCTGCGCTGGGCCAGCTCAGACCCCCAGCCAGCTCGCCCGAGGCGCAGTGGACAAGGGTGCCAAAGTCGGGCCCTTGGAAGCCCTGGAAGCCAGATGTCTGCCCGTGTCCACTGCGCCTCGGCCTTTTGGGCGCCCCCTCCCAGCAAGAGCCCAAGGCGCGGCGGACATGGACACATCTACACATCGCGCCCGCACCTGGGCACGCCAAAAGGCACCGATGCACCGCTCCTCCCCGGAGCTCTCCCGGGGGTGCGCTCTGACCAGGACCGCGAGGCGAATCCAGCGGTGGCGACGAGGGCCTCCTATAGGAGGCCGAAGAAGGGGAAACGAGAAAAGGGGGTGCGTTCTGACCAGCACCTCGAGGCGAATCAAGCTGTGGCGGCGAGGGCCTCCCAAGAGGCCCCAAAGAAGGGGAAAAACGATAAGAAAAGGGCAGCGGTATGGGCACCCGGTGCTCCTCTGCGCCTTGCCGTCGCTCGGACGTCCCTTTCTCTTGCACTTCTGCTTCGACCTCGTGCGCGTGTGTTTTTTAGGGGAGGCGCTCGAGGATCCAGGATGCACACGTCCGAGCGATGCCAATCCAGACGTCCGGCCGCTCCCATGTTCTCAGATGTGGAGAAGCCCCGGAGGTCTGGATCACCTCCCCAGGGCCAGCGTTTCGTCCCGAGTCAATCCTGGACGGCCCTGAATCCTAGCGAAGGCTCCCGGAAGCCGAAAACGGGCAGAAACTCGCCGCTCCAATTTTTGTTCGGAGCGTCGGTGGGAAGGGGCACCCGGGGCCCTCCGGGTGCTCCGGGAAGGGAGGGAGGGGAGGGGAGAGCGGGGGGGAGGAGGGAGGAGGGAGGAGAGAGGGAGGAGGAGGAGGAGGAGGAGGAGGAGGAGGAGAAGGAAAAGAGGGGAGGGAGGAGGAGGGAAGAGGAGGAGGAAGAAGGAGGACGAGAGGGAGGAGGGAGGAGGGAAGAGGGAGGAGGGAGGGAGGAGGCGAGGGAGGAGGCATGAGAGGGGAGGGAGGCAGGGAGGGAGGGAGGAGGAGGAAGAGGAGCAGGAGGAGGAGGAAGAGGAGGAGGAGGAAGGGGAAGAGGAAAGGGAGGAGGAAGAGCGCGTGCCTCGACCGGGGGGCGGCCAGGGCCGCCGCCGGGGGCGCCAGAGCCCTGCGCGGCCTGCGCCCGCGCGGCCGCGCCCAGGAGCTCCAGGTGCACCGCGTGACTCGCCGTCAGCGCCTCCACGATCCTCCTCCTCCTCCTCCTCCTCCTCCTCCTCCTCCTCCTCCTCCTCCTCCTGGAGGGGGACGTGGAGAAGCTCAGGGATCTGAGGAGAGGTTTCCTGTACGTCTTGAGGTTCCAGCTTCGACCTCAACCATTTGCTCTGAGGCCCCCAAGATTAGGACTAGACCAAGCAGTGCATTGGTCGCGCGATGGGCAACCCAAGGAGGTTGCCATGCAACGTGAAGTTTTCCACGACGGCAGTGTTTTAAAACCTGGCCCTACGGTCTTTGACGCCCCTGCCTGGTCCGTGGTTAAAATCGACGAGGAGGGCGACCGAATTGCCTGTCTCTCGGGGCCCGTGGGGGCCAGTCTTCCCCCCACGTCGCCCGCTGCCGAGCATTTAGGATTTCTGGTTGCCGTCTCCTGTCCAAGAAACAGTAAAGCATGGACCGACTTTAAAGGCGTCCTCTCGGTTCACCAGAGCCCCGAGGTTAGTAGGAAAGAAATGCATGCAGGAGTGTCTGTCTTGGCCAGGGCCCAGGACAGTTCCAGGCCCCTCGAGATAGCCAAAGTAAAGGCCCACCAGGATCTCTCGACCCTGGAGGCTGGCTCGAGGGACTGGTTTGTAGCCAAAGGAAACGACTGGGCGGATCGGGTTGCCAAACTAGCTGCTGCCCAGATTCCCGCCCCGTCCCAGATGGAGATTGAGTATTATAAAGAAACCCGCAGTGGAGCACTGAGATGTTTGAAGTATGCAGCGGAGGCGCTCTCCTTGTGGCAGGCCCTCGCCCCGAAGACGGGGAAGAAGGCCGACGAGAAGCCTCCCCAAAGCCTCAAACCCCCTGTTGGAGCCGCGGGTGCGGTCAAAGACTGGACCCCACCCCCTCAGCCCCCTGAGGGTCTTCCTCGGCGGGCCCGTGCGGCCCGCCGTAACCCTCAGGTTTTGGCTCGCCACCAGTGGGGCTGGATCAACAACCACTGGCTGTACTCAGCGTGTCACACTCGTGCCCGCACTGATAGCACCCGCCAAACCCGTTTGCGAAAAGTGTGCCCTGGCAATTCTGCAGCGCTGTCCCAGTTAATTAGAGAGCCCAGGAAGCACCGACTGTTGATTTGCGATTACCTCGATGTCGAGTCTTTCTCATAATCTGCAAGAGGTGCGGCCGTTATCCGGAGAGCAACCTCAAAGGACTCAGAAGTGAATGCAGTGAGCGCTTCAGAAGCAAATTCTCTGAAGGTGCGTGGTCTCGGGTGTCAGGCGGCCGTCATCCGAAGGACAGTATGAAGGCCCGCCCCCGACTTTCCCAGCCCTTCCCTGCAGCCCAGCTCCTCAAGGAAGGGGCGGCGATGTAGGGTCGAAGAAGGGCGTAAGGGGAGAACGGATGGAATCCCAAGGTTTCGGTTAGGGTCGGGTCGGCCTAACCCTAGCCTTCCTCCTCGTCCCCCAGTTCCTCGTCCTCCTCCTCCTCCTCCTCCTCCTCCTCCTCCTTCTCCTCCTCCCCTCCTCTCCCCCCTCTTTTTCTACCTCCTCCCCCGCCTTCTCCTCCTCTCTTCCTCCTCCTCCTTCCTCCCTCCCTCCTTAGCCTCCTCCTCCCGTCGTCGCGTCAGTCCTCTCCTCCTCCCTCCTCGTCCTCCTCGTGCCTCTCCTCCTCTCCTACTCCTCCTCCTCCTCCTCCTCCGCCTCCTTCCTCCTTCTCCTCCTCCTCCACCTACTCCCCCTCCCCCCGCTCCTCCTCCTCCCTCCTCCTCTCCTCCTCCTACCTCCTCCTCCTCCGCCTTCTCCTCCTCCTCCTCCTCCTCCTCCTCCTCCTCCTCCTCATCCTTCCCTCCTCTCTCCTCGCCTCTTTCTGTCCTCCTCATCATCTTCCTCTTATCCCCCTCCCTCCTCTTCCTCCTCCTCCTCCTCCTCCTCCTCCATCCCCCCTCCTCCTCCTCATCCTCCTCCTCTTCTTCTTAATCGTATTAGTGGTGTTCTTCTTCGCATTCGTATTATTATTCGCACTCTTCTTCTTAATAGTATTAGTATTATTATTAGTAGTATTCTTATTAGTCTCAGTATTATTATTAGTATTCTGATTCTTGGTATGATTAGTAGTATTATTAGTATTAACAGTAATAGTATTCCTCCCCCTCCTCCAACACCTCCTCCTTTCTCCTCCTCCTCCTCCTCTTCCTCCTCCTCTTCCTCCTCCTCCTCCTCTTACTAATGTCAATAGCAGTGATAGCATTAGTACTATGTTTACTAGTAATACGATCACCATTACTATTACTATCAGTGCTAGAATTGTGCACCGTGGTTTTTTTATAGTAGTACTACGAGTAGTAGTTGCAGAAGAAGAAGAAAAATAAGAAGACGTATTGTTCTTATTGGTATTATGATCAGTGGTCGTATCAATCGTTTTAGTCTGATTAGTATTGGTAGTAGGATTACTATCACCATATCATCATACTTGTGAGTATTATTAGTACTATCAATGTTCGTAATACCATGAGCATTACTTTATTAGCTGACTTATTATCCGTAGAAATATTATTAATAGTCTTACCATTAAAAATAGTCGTATCCGTGTTGTTACAAGTATCAGCACTGCTGACATCATTATCAATACGATTCGCATTATTATCATGTCTGGTATTCGGATTCGCTCTCTTCTTCTTAGTACTGCAATTCGTAATCGTACCACTGTGGAAAAGAATAGTCTTACGAGTAACAGTACCGTGCGTACTCTTAGTAGTCTTATAATCAGTTTTCATATTAGCATTACAAATGTTATCAATGTTTGTCTTCGGATTATTATGAATATTATTATTCCGGCACGGCACCGCACCATTATTATTTTGGCACGGCGCCACCCCCGCCCCCCCCCCTTTATGCTCATCCCGCGCGCCCCTCCGAATACCCGCCAGCCGGCGCGCCCCCTTCCGCCCCCCACCCATCCCGCGCGCGAGGGGTTCTTTCTCCGGGAAAACGGCTACTTCTCTGGGAAAACGGTTACTTCTCCGGGTGAACTACCGAATCCTTCCAGATTCCAGGGGGATCCTTCGGGAAGGGTTAGTTCTCCGGGTGAGACCCCATCGAGGATCCGCACACTTCTGTCAAAACTGACTGTTCCGCAAATCGCCATAAACTGCCCTTAAGGCGCCACAGAGATGTCCCTTCGGTCTGGCTTATTTTGCCCGGAGAAATAACTCTTCTTGGTAATACTACTAAACTATATGTGGCGACCGAGTTGGTAGCAGCTCGTAGCAAGCAGCTCGTAGTTAGGAGGTAGTAGATAGTACGCGTAGTAGTTGGTATCTAGGTTATGAATAGTGGTCCGAACATAGTTAACCATCTGCTGCTCGTAGCTAGTCGTATGTAGTAAGTAGAAAGTAGTTAGTAGTTAGCAGGCTGTAGGTAGTAGTTCGTAGGTAGTGGTTTGTAGCCAGTACTGAGTAGTAGTAGTAGTAGTAGTAGTAGTAGTAGTAGTAGTAGTAGTAGTAGTAGTAGTAGTAGTAGTAGTAGTAGTGATAATAATAGTAGTAGTAGTAGTAGTAGTAGTAGTAGTAAAAGTTCTTGTAGTAGTTGTAGTAGTAGTCGTCGTAGTAGGAGTAGTAGTAGCTGATAGCTAGCAGCTAATAGTTAGTAGTAGCAATAGTAGTAAAACAAGTGGTGGTAGTAGCAGCAGTAGAAGTAGTAGTGGTAGTAGTAGTAGTAGTAGTAGTGGTCGTAGTAGTGTTCGTCGAAGTAGTAGTAGTAATATGAATAGTACTAGTAAGAGCAATAGTGCTAGTAATCGTAGTCGTAGTCGTAGGGGTAGTCGTAATAGTAGTGTAGTAGTAGTAGTAGTAGTAGTAGTAGTAGTAGTAGTAGTAGTAGTACTACTAGTACTAGTAGCAGTAGTAGTAGTAGTAGTAGTAGTAGTAGTAGTAGTAGTAGTAGTAGTACTGGTAGTAGTAGTGGTAGTAGTAGTGAAATTACACGTCGCAGTAGTAGTAGTAGTGGTAGTAGGAGTAATGCTAATAGTAGTGATAGTAGTAGCAGTAGTAGTAGCAGTAGTAGTAGTAGTAGTACTGGTAGTAGTTATTGTAGTAGTAGCAGTCTTAGTAGTAGTAGTAGTAGTAGAAAGAGTGACAGTGGCGGGTCGTAGTAGTAGTAGTAGTAGTAGTAGTCGTAGAAGTAGCAGTAGTGGTAGTAGTAATGGTACTCGTAGCAGTGGAAGTGGTAGTCGTAGCAGTAGCAGTATTGAGGGTAGTAGTTGTAGTAGTAGTAGCAGTAGCAGTAGCACTAGTAGTAGTCATAGTGGTAGTCGTAGTAATGTCAGTTAGTAGTATGTAGTTAGAAGCCAGCGGCTGGTAGCTAGTATCTCGTAGCTAGTAGCGAATAATTGGCTGTTTGTTGCTAGCCGTTGCGTGCCGTAGCTAGGAGCTGGTGCGTAGTAGTTGGTGGTAGCAGCAGTAGTTGTAGTAGAAGCGGCACCAGCTGTAGTCTGAGTAGAAGTCTTATCGGCATAAATATAAATAGTAATAGTCAAAGTGGTGGTCGTAGAAGCAGTAGTAATCGTGCTAGAAGTATTAGTAGTAGGTAGCAGCAGTAGCGGTAGCAGCGGTAGTAGTAGTGGCAGTAGCACTAGTAGTACCAGTACTAATAGTATTAGTGGCCCTGGTAGCGGTAGCGGTGGTAGTAGTTGTAGTAGTCGTCGTAGTAGTAGTAGCAATAGTAGTAATAGGGGGACGAATAGCAGTGGTAGTAGTAGTAGCAGCAGCAGTAGTAGCAATTGGACTTGCATTTGCAGCCGTCGTAGTAGTAGCCGTCGTAAAAGTAGTAACGATAGTAGTAGTAGTAGTAGTAGTAGTAGTAGTAGTAGTAGCAGTAGTAGTAGTGGTAGTACTAGTGGTAGTGGTAGTAATGGTCGTAGTGGTGGTAGTAGTAGTAGTAGTAGTCGTCGTCGCAGTAGTAGTAGTATGGAGTAGTAACAGCAGCAGCCGCAGTAGTTGGAGCAGAAGAAGAAATAGTAGCAGCAGTAGTAGTGGTA